TTGAGCCGTTGTTATAATTACTAACAACCGTTCAGAAAAACCTTCTAAACTATGTTTTCAAACTACCTTCGAATTTCCAGATTGAAGAAAGATATCGAAAGATTTTTAATGAATTATCTTGTAAATCCATTCATTTAATAAATAAATATATTTCATTATCGCAAAACTTGACATCTTGATTTATTTTTATATCAATTTTGAACCTATATTCATACAACATCAACATACAATATATTATTAGCGGTCGATTTTACTACCTATAATATCTGGTCTAAATCCTATCTATATTAATCTTTAGAAGCTCTGTCGTGGTAAGTAAAGCTGTATAACGTCTAGTTAATACTAACTTGTAAATTATTGCGAACCCTCCTCCAATCTTTAAGCAGTATACCTGTGTTCATAGTCTATTAAACACAGATAGATACGATATCAGGGAAATAGAGATAGAGATAGATAGAGAGAGAACCGTAGCGAAGTACATAATTGTATTATTCAACATATATATACGATATACTAACTTAGAATTGAATTCTGAACATGAGGTAAATATGTGTTGGGGAAACTGGTAAATGCGACTCTATAAGAATATCAGTATCGGCTTCTTCGACAGTCTCTATTATATTCTCTAGAGACAAGGAGGGTTCGATATTATAAGTTCGTCTTGATGTTAGTGTAATTTCATCTACGCCAAGCAATCTAACGGTTAGAGATAGGTATCTAGAGATCTTCTTGCGTTAAAGAAAGTCGCACACTCGCGCAGCATGTGTTATGTGCGTAATTACATAATATAAAAACAAGAAATTCTATACTTATAATGCAGGATGTTAGCTTAACAAAATTAACAAATTAAAACTGCGTTAGCAAAACTTTTGAAAAAGATAATTACATGTGTAGGAACTACAAACTGATGATTTATGCAATTAAAAAATATCTCACAAAGTATAAAATAAATCGCAAATATTTTATAACGCTCGGAGATCTCCATGGTAGTGAATATTGATAGAAAAATGTTCTATTACAAACATCTGTGATATTTACTCAATGTTCCCGATGCAATCGACGCGCTATTCGGAATAATGCATAGATACGAGGTATTTCACAGTAAAATATCATCGACGAATAAAGAGGAAAATAAATCTTGCATGTATTAATATCGTAAATGTCTTTAATAGGATTTTTCTTGTGTAAGCATTACCATTGACCTCAATGGGCCGTACGGCCGTCGTAAATCTAGAAATCAAATTGCGAATTTTACAGGCCCTTGTATCCCTCCGCGCATAATAAAAAGCACGAACGGATGGAACCTTGTTATGATACGAACAGCCATGGAATTGGAACAGGATTTATGCCAGATAGATTCCATTTTACAATCTCCGACATCAGATAGCAAAACGGCAAGTAACTATCCGCCCTGACAAAAATATTATACCTCGGTAAAAATCTTTAGAACCTAATATATGCCGATCATATGATACACAGTGAAAGACCTATTTTTTATTACCAGATATTTATTACACTTCGAGTACTACTTATTATTCTTGTTTAAAATATATTTTGTTATTTAATTATACTGTTTAATGTGTTTCACAATAATAGCAACATAATAATGCAAAATTTATTACATTATTACATTTCCATATAATTATTTATATCTATATACTTATTCTGCAATTTGTATATTGTATTTATATTTTATATAATATAAAATAATAGGAAAGTAAAATAATATTCTTTCAGTAATTACAGGTACTTCTAATAAAGTGAAAAAACCTGTAATAAATCATTATTTAAAACCGTATTTTATAATTTGTATTTATTACTTTTACGTAAACCTATGCAATGATATTTCTGGACAGCAAGAAGTAAACTTAGAAAAAAGTCCCATCAATCTTAAGGATAGAAAATCCTGCCACGGCAAACTAAAAACGTCCTCTACCCTCATTCACGTCGCTCTATCGATTAATTCACCTGTTCCGATACTTTTCGCGTCGATTATACATACTTACTTACATACTCCCTTGAATTCCTACGAGAAACAAAAACGAGGCCTCTTGCCTCTCTACATACGAGACACGGATCCGCCCACCCCTCGCGGTCCACTGTCCGCTCGATAGAGCGCTGTATCCCTCGCTCTCATCCCTTGGTTTCCACCCTTTTCGTACTTCTCTCTGCACTGGTCATTTCACTCTCCGTGTGTATTTCCTACCGTCCATCATTCCCGTTTTCTCGAATTTTTCTTTTTACCTCTTCTCGCTCTCAAATTTTCTTGCTTTGTTCACACCTATATCATTCAGAGGTGTCACGTATCCTCTCTTTCTCTTTTTGTCGCACGTAGAGTTGTGCTCCTGTTCTCTTCCCTGACTTCCCTTCACATTAAACTCTTACATTTTCCTACCCACGTAGACCCGTCTTTCTGTCCCGTGCGTTTTCCGTCTCACTCACCTCTCTGCCTTTCCCCACTTTAGTACTTTCATCCCCTCTTTCTCTCGATCCGCCCTCTTATTCCACAAGATCGCGCTCGTGTGTTGTTCTCCCTCTGGAACCCACGCACACGCTTGAATGTATCCCGCTTTCTATAAGGCTTAGCTACGGCTATCTCTCTCGCTTGTGCTTTTCATAAATTTTTTATTTCCATTTTTTCGTTAGTTTTATCCTTTTCTTCCCTTTTCTCTTTTACGTTCTTCTTCTTTCTATCATTCAGCCCATACTTCCAATCTCTGTCTAACTTAACTTCTTCCTATACGCTTATCTTTGTCGTTTCCTCGATCAAAATATTCTCGTCCTTGTTTCAACCACGTTCCGATTTTTCGCCCTCCTTTTCTTCTGTTCTTCGTGCCTTTGTCGCTCATACGCGCATTTCTAGTTCTGTCCTGCTCGCGGTCGCAGCATCCGCCGGATACAAGTATGTGCTGTTACCTCTCTCCTATTCTCGTCTCTTTCTCTCTGATCTGTGCCTTTACTCCCGGCCAACAGTCGCATCTCGCTTTCCCGTGACCGTCTCTTTCTGGTTGATGCTAGCATTCCACTTATCTGTCTCTTTTCGCCTCCCTTTTGTATGTATGTGTAATGCTCTATCCTTCTCTTTTATCACCTCTCTTCGTTCATTTTATTCTCTTTCTCTTTTCGATCGTTGTTCACTCTCCATAGGCGTCGATATTAGGAGATACATATGCAAATATACAATTACCTGTATTGCGTGATTTTTCACGATTCAAAAGTTTTGGACAATTTGTCGATAGTCAAGAAGATTACGAAATTTAATACAACTAGAAAAATTCAGTTTATGACAAAAACTTAAGAAGAAAACTTAAATTATCAGTATTACTTAATTTATCCGTATTAAAATGATAGAAAGTAAAAAATATAAACTTTCATTCGCCGTTGTAAAATAAATTAAATTGTTCTCTTAATTAAAGCACTCTCAAAATTATTAACGTCGAAAATGTAATTAATAATTATCCTGCGCCTTTGGCCGCGTTCACCCTTGCTTACGCATGGTTCCTCTCTTGCTCACTCCTCGCTCCCTACCATCCCTTCACGCACCTTCCCCACCTCGCTACCCTTCTCCTCACCGTCAGCCCTCACCCTGGACCACTTCTCTCCTTCGCTGCTCCCTTCTCCCGGCCAATAATTTTCTCTCTCTCCGAACACATTCGCCCCTACCAGTAGAACTCTCGTATAGCGTCCCTCTCTCGCGGTTTCTCTATCACACCCCGTGGCAGTCGCTCGGCAGCCACCCTATCTACGTGGTCCGTTCAGCTTCGGGCGCCGTCGTCAGAGCAACGATAACGGCCGCGCGGCACCGGGGCGCGGGCGTTCAGTCGGCATCGCGTTCAACCCGCGTCCACAGGCTCACGTAGCGTCGGCTGGACCGCTGTACCGTGACCCCAGCACCTCGTGGCGCGTCACATCCCTCCCACGTCACTCGAGGATCGTCCAGTTCCTGAGCTGCCTAAACACGCCAGAATCGCCCGAGGACACAGTACTTGCTCGATCCAGCAATCTCAAAACCCAGAGCTCGTCTCCCGCGCTTGAGCAACCGAAATGGTTCGTTACTCCCTCACCCTTTGTATAGTAGCAAACGCCGCGGCCGGATATACGGTGAACACCCCAGGTCGCAATCGATTCACGACGATAACCTCGAGATCCTGCACGTTAGATCTCGGCAATATTAAATTAGTAACTAGGACAAGATGATCGGTCTTGCGTTAAGCATTAATTATTCGCGTACTGTACTACGCCGTGAGAGATATTCCCAGATATTCCCAGGTTATGCCGGTTCATATGAGGTCATTGAAGCTACCGATATCGGATTTCACAAAAATATCGATTTAACGAATTTATAAAGCTTATATTGAAGCACCTGAAACGACTCGTTATTTCTGAATACGAATTTTTCTTCATAGAATCGCTAAATCATAGAAAACTTGAAGCAATGAGAATTATTTAACAAATTAATAAACCTAAAATATTAATCACTTTCATATATACGTGCTACATTGATCGTGCTAAGCATTTATATGTATGTAAAATTTTCTCCGTTTGCTATCTAGCTGTTGTTGTAATCCATTATTTATGTTAGCAATATTTCTCTCGCTACACAATAGAGGAAACTCGAGAACTCAGGTCGCGTGCAAGAAATTTACGTGTCATGAATATTCTGATTATGAAAAAGATTAAATACTTGAAACTCTGATGCATTTATTATCTGCATGGAACGTTAGAGATTATCTCAACACGATCTGTGCTATGGATTATGGTACAATTTTTTAACAATATTGAGGAATATTTATATAAAATATAATCGAAAATTATTGTGAATTATATATATTCAGATGTCAATAGTTAATTTAATTCGTCAATAATTAATTTAAAAAAAACGAGAAAAATTTGGGAAATATGCATCTCATTCAGTATGTGATTAATAAAATTCGCTATGCTTTCTAATCCTTTAATATTCTACAATTGATCCCTCTTTCTCTACATACACAGAAGCAATGAGATAGATATCTTTATTCTTATGACAGTGGTAGATAATGGCTAAATTTCAGTCGAAGCTGTATGTACTACGCGTCTGCTCAACTGTATCGTGTTTTGACATGTTGGAAAACTCGATAATCGTCTTGCGACTTGACTCGTCAAGTATCTATTTGAGAAACCGCGAGAGAGGGACGCTACGAGAGTAGTAGAGGCGAATATGTTCGGGGTTATACCAAAGAGGCAGCCAGATATAGATCGCTTCGTCCGCGATCTCGAATTGGCCCGATAATGTGATGTGAGAGCTCCTGGTGTCGCTCCTGATGCTTCTCGTCTAGTTTATATATCATGAGTTTTCTAAATACAGCAGACTATAAAAATATATAAATAGCGATACGAGACATTCAGCGTTAAATTAAAATAACACGCGAATACGGATCTAACATTTAAAGTTTATATTAACATTTTAATTGTGATGAGCAAAAAGAGGATCGACGTCAATACTTGTGTTAACGGCGCTGTAACAAATTTTTACGTTTCATCTTGAGTCGTAAAACGCGATATACGAGCACATAGTATAGTAAAATCCAATGGAGAATAAGCATATTTTATCAGTAAAACATACGATAATTCCGACAACCGCGGATTGTCGAATTGGCTGCTACCGCGCGGTCGATATCGGTTTATTTTTTATCATATGAAGCACTATAAAACTGCAAAGTTAATTTCAACGAGCTTTTATGTGCCAATTTTTCTGTCGCTGACATCGTACGCTGACGTCAAATAACTCTGGAATAAATATTAATTTTCAATTACATCCACGTGCGGATTGCACAATTATGAAAATTGTCTTATAAATTATAAAAATTGTGCACGGTAATGAATTCCAAAGTGGACTGAGCCATTCTGGAATACCCTATTTACGTATTTTAATCCGCAAAGGATTTCATGAAATTGACATTTATATTAAGCGGCAAAAGCAAACGACAGCATTGACGAGTTATGAAAATTTTGCATTTGAAGAAACAATTATTTAGATTGAAATCTTTTTCAAAAATCGAGTTTATGGATTCATATAATATTTTATTCCATTCAGTAACTGTGGAACGCGTGGCGAAAGTACAACAGTCGCCGTTTCTGGTGTTTATCACTAAGAGGTCTGACTAAAAGGCGTGCTACTACTGCGTGATATATGTAGCTCTCTTTGTGTGACTGAAACTATGCGATCTACTTGGCGCACAGTCGCCAGACTCTTGTCCGATCAAGTAGTGGGACGATCCACTTGGCGCGAATACAGTCCATCCTCCATCCGATCAAGATGGATCGATCTGTTCAGGACAACCTTGACTCCCTTTTGCCGATCAAAAGATATCCACTTAACGTGATTTTGGCTCAGTTTCTCATTAAGTCATTACTTCCCTCATAAATAAAAATTATATCGAATGAGTGCTACTTTTTCATTATTTTACAATATACATTTCACGTACAGCTTCTCACAGCAGACATAATTAATCATTCACTCACCTCCTATCAAAACTGTTAAGCTGATAAATCTAAAAATTGTTTGACGAATTATTAATGATAATGTTAGTTACTGATTTTAATTGAATTATTAATGACGTGGATATTCATTTATCGATGCTTTTTATCATCTCGAGAGAAGCTTGTTAATAATTGTTCAATAACATGTCCAATAACATATATTTTTTGCGGCAAGAATTTTTGAATAGATTAAAACTTTGCGACAATTGGATAAATAAAATTTACGATTAGGATTTTGCGTAATTCCCTCGAAGCTGTATGCGATACCGTTATTTTATCCTGTTAAGGCTGAACAACACTCCAGAAAAAGAGATCCGGAGAGAACGCGCATGGAAGTCTGAATGTCACCCTGGAGACAATACTAGCAACTGTATTCTGATAGGCCAACGTTTATATCAAGTTATTCGCAGGCCTGTCACCTCTGGAATTTTAGAATCCAATATACGTTGAAGACGCAATTCTATAGTAGAACTTTAAGTTTTCCATTACATAAGTTTTTCTGTATTACACAACTCCATTTGATAAATATTTTACAAAGATAACCAAAACATAACAAGAACGATCTAATAAATACTAATAACGATTAAATTTCTATAATTAGAAACCTCGGATGAAAGATTCTCTTTATAGATTCGCAAATATTAATATTCCGTTTTAGCCGTCGAATTAATAAGTCTATATACAATAATTCTCTGACGACATTGAGCTTTGTGGAAACCAATTAAATATCGTCGTTGTACGAAGTTAATTAACTCTCATCGAACGTTTATTTCAAGACTCAAATCCGATGTTAGGGTCAGTTTAACACTGCAGATAAATCGAAACCCAAATTGAAGGGTTTTTATCTGTATTTGGACAAAATAATAATTTATATTGTAATTTGATGTATTCTAATACCATTATTAGGTTAGAGTGACAAAAAGAGGTCAAAAGAGATCAAAGGGATCAATTTCAAAAAAGGGTCAAATTGACACTGACGTCCGATGAGGATTACATATATTGTAGTTTTCTTTACGTGGCTGTTAAATTTGATTTATCGAGGTAAAAGGATACGTGAGCATTAAAAAATCGCCAAAGCTAGTCGCTCATGGAGCTGTTTAATGAGAGTGTAGAACGCGCGAACGACATGACAGGCAGGGGTGGGTGGACAGAGAAATCGGAGGGTAATGGTATTTCCGGCGAATTTCCGACTCGGTTGATCGACTCATCGGCACCGGCCAACGATACGCCTGTAATTTCAGCCTGTAATGCGCGTATATTCGCGGTAAAGTCGTCGTCAGTTTGCCCGGAACTGCCCGGAACCTAGAGAGACAACGCCTCGTTTCTGAATTTTCATCGATCTGTGCAAATCCGTGGATTTGGCCTCCGTCAAGCGACGCCACGCTACACCATTTTTAGCTCGACGCTCGACGTCGGCGTCGGCCGGGTAAAACTTCCCCTCTCAGTGCGATAAAAATAGACATTCCGCGAAAAAGGAAAGCAAAGATTACTAAAGGTGAACAGGGCGTGGCCGCCGTGCGACGAAATAATTACTAAAAATATGTAAGATAAGATGACGCCTTCTGACCTCAAGAGTTTCTCATTATTTTCAATAATTAATTATTCTCTGATGATTTAACATCTTTTTAAATAATAGCGCGCTGCTTTTAACCGAATGTCTTTCGTGATATTATTCAATCTTATCGCGAATCATTTATGCTTTCAAATGAGTTTTACACGAGCGTATAGATGTTCTGAAGTTTGATAATTTTTTTCCGCGCGCACGAGAAATAATTAATATATTCTAGTTTTTAATTTTATTACCAACTTTCGTAATATTAACTGGGATTATTTTTTGATGCCTCAGATAACTTCACGCGTACTTTTTGTTTTAATTGCATATACCGCATTTATGTAGTAGAGTCTATTAGACATCGGATGTTGTTATCTAATTTCATAATTTCTCGGTCTGCTTTTAGTAAAATGAGAGACATATTTAGTTAAAAACTACGCTGCGCTAGACATTCAATATTATCGCAAACTAGTCCACATGCAATGTACTGTGTGAATTTAAAAAAACGTCAGACCCGTGTGACAATTTTTAATTCATTTTTCTCTCGCATCAAAAAATAATATCGAATTTTCCTGTAACATTTCCATTTTATCGCGTAAATCAAAATTAAACTTTATTGCATTTTAGCGAGATATGAATAAATAAATATATATATTTTTTGACGGCAAAAGGAAATAATGAATCAATAAAGCAATCTATAAATTGAAATTGGAAATTGAAATAAATATTAGCACAACGTAAAGTTCTGGTCACAAAAATGTTTCTCTCAGTCAAGCAAAATTAAATCTCTTTGCCGAACTTTTTGCGACGAATTTCATGGCACTGCACCACTGGAGCTTTGGTATCGCATATTCGCGAAACGGACGTATGAACCACTAAAGTTTCAGAACAGCTCCATGTAAAAATGAACCGAATTATTGAGGTTTCTACATATACCTATATACCGCGAGTGACACTTATATATGACAAACACGAT